AGAACACGGTGACGACTTCTGAATGGTTCCAGATCATGGCCCGTTTCTCTGTTTATGTCAGATGAATAACGGAAATAAATGTAAATGTAAATGTAAATGGTAGGCAGAATGACTGGACGAGACTGGGCTACCTAAGTACCTTAAGACCTAAAGTTCACCGGTGAATGGGAAAACCATCTTTTTCTCAATTTCTACCCCCGGATACCCTTGTTCCTATTCCACATGCTGTTTTTCTCGTCCCATAGGGTAACGCTAACCGAACCGACACAACCCTCGTGGGACCCTAAAAGGATTACTGCGGGATATGATAGCAGGAATGTCGACGAGTCGAGAGATGAAGGGATTTACAATCTATCTGAGTGACAGGCCTTGAACGCCACGCTAGAATCCATATGCACAAAGGAGCGAAAGATATGGGGTTTCAAAAGCAAGAAAAAAAGTTCCAGGGACAGGCCGAGCTATTCCAGGGCAAAACACGACCGGGTGAGCTAGGTTGCGATAGACATTTGGAGGGAAGGGGTATTAATTAGTCAATGAAACAAGATAGAAAAACCTTGGGCAACTTACCGTTCCTAACAAAAGCGGTTGGATTCTGTAGCTTCCAGTATTTGTGGACTTGTGCCAGTAAACCCATCAATTCGCTCCAGCAATGGTCAATTGGGCTGTGATTCGGGGTGGTTGGTGAGAGGAGAGCGTGCCGTAATAACTACAAGACCCTATAAGGGAAATATTGAAAGAAATTCACAAAACGATGCTGATTAACGCCACAAAACGCTCACAAATTTATTTTAACTACACAGCAAGCGCTACAGTAACCATAGCTACAGTAATCAACGAGGAAACGAAAATTTGTAACTGAACTAGTAGAAACACTGTAGATTTATTTGTATAATTCATATGTATGATTATCGATCTCTATTTTTGTTCGACAACAGCCCGTGTGCGGGATCGAATTCGTACGAGGCACTGCTCGGCGCTGTCCGCACGTTCTTCGGCCGTTTCCAACGCCATCTGTACGGTACGGTATTTGGCCAGATGATGGTTGGCCTGCTCTTCCTGAACGGAAAATTATTGATTTTTGCTGGAATTCGTCGATGTTACTGTAGGACTTACCGCTTCTTCGAGTTGCTTCTTTTGCATTTTTAACTTGCCGGAGAGCTTTTCAACAAGCTCTTGCAGCTTATCGTAGTTCTTCTTATCTTCGTTAACCTAGGATGATTATCGATTAATGTGGATCAATCGTCCTGCCAATCAATAAATGAGTAAGATGAAGGAAAGATTAGGTTCTGGAAGTATTTTAGAGGTTTTGATGAGATCTTCGATTTTTACCATGGAAATCGCCCGTCTACTAACCTGGAAGTCGAGTTCGCGGACTCGGCGATCAGCTCGGGCAAGCGATTTCGCCGCTTCCGTCGCGCGGCGTGTCTTCGGTCTCCAGATCGCCTTGGAGCGCCTTCAGACGAGCCTCAGCCTTCATGATCTCCTTGGCACCGCCCTTCATCACCGCCGCTTCGGCGATGTCGGCACGCTCTTGCATATCCTGAATTGGGCTAAATTGATATAAAGGAAATTCTTGGTAAATGATAACGTAATTTGGCTCTGAAATCATAGTAGAGGTGCGAAATGGACAAATGGGAATGAAAAAGAAGAGAAAAAGCGCTGGAAACCAAAAATAAGGGCTCTTGTCAAGAGTCCAAGGAGGACGGAAACCGCCGAGGAGAGAGAAAAGAATCAAAGGAGAGTGAGCAAGGATACGAGCAGGCGCGACCTATGACGTCCATTCCTGGGCGGAGTTCTGGGTGGCTATATCCATAAGCATTAGCGACACTGCCTGACAATTCCATGCGGCTGCGTCGGTAAACGCTGAGTGCTTGCGGACTGCTTTCCTCCAGCCAGGCCTCCAGCCCAGTGTTGATCGTGGTCTGTCCCTTTAAGTCAAATCTCAAGGTAATCAACCACACTTTGTCTGTGCGATCTTCATGGAATATCGGCCAATTTTTTGCCGTAGACTATAGTTCATGAATTTTTGAACACTTCTCTAGCCTAAATCCGAAAAAGCCAAGGCATATGAGACTTCCCAGATGCTCATGTGATTCGCCATTCACGTCTATGTCTGATGCTTAGAAGTCTGGCGCCTCTCGGTTCACTCTGAGACATAGAAAGAATACGAGAGGACAGGGGACGCAGACGGTCATACATTCCTCGCTGCGACAGACGTTACGATAAGTATAAACACATGAATGAATATGAAAATGTATGTCGTCAACCCTCGAAAAATGAGTCTATTTATTCCACTGAACTGCTACGGTTCTCTATTGACGGCACTTATAACTACACCTGCCTGATTTAAACCATTTTCTCCAAAAAAATTCTCTGACTCACCTTCACTTGACTCTCAAGCTGCTTCTTGTAACGCTCAACCTGGAGCGAGTGTTCCTGCTCTGCTCTGAGATCCTCGGACATCTTGGCTGCATCGGCGGCGGCGCGACGTCCGCGTTCTTCAGAAGCCGCTAGTTCCATTTGAGCTTCAGCGATGTCGCTCTGAATTGGGCTATTGAGAAAGCAACTGAGTCTCCTTTTATTTCCTTACAGGGTTCTCAAAAAGCAAGAATTCTATGATGGGCCAAATTTCGAGCTAAATCCGACCTTGAGGAGTGCAATCTCGTTGTCGAGTTGGCTCTTCGCGGCTGCGAGACCACAGTTCTGTGAGTTGAGCTCGTTGTTCTGCTCTTGGTGTTCCTTCACTGCCTGTTCGACCACACGGCGAGCGCGTTCAATCTGAAAAGGAATATACCTTTACCAAGTCTTTTCTATTTCTTTTCTTTTTTCTTTTTCGTTTTTTCGTTGCTTATTATTTTCGTTTTTCTTGTTTTTCACTGGAAATAAAAAAATGAGACTCAGTTTCATAAATCGGCTCAGTTATTTCTCTGGTGCGCCACAGCTCCTATGGATGACAATCATTCCTTTAATAAGGCCTATGTTAGTGACCGAACTGTCGTGTTGGGAAATTTTTTTGAGTTCAAACGATCCCTCTGCCTCCCCCCCGAATGTCCCTACTGATCGACCCTTTCCACGACGAATGGCGTCCATAACATTATTGAAACCTGCGTTCATCCTGACCACAGATCCTTGACCCACCCCCTCAATTTCAAGCAAGCCGCGAAAGTACGGTCAAAAATTGGATGGCTCTATATAAACTGAAACCGAAAAATTTACAAAATCTTTCCAAATTTTGCAAGGGTTTCCTAACTTTTGAAACCCCCGCTTCTCCTTTTCTCTTCAGATAGACGTGCCTCTTTCCTAGGGCCCCATAATACGACCTCCCTCGCATTTCGCTGCGTCTGGGAATATCACAACTGCTGCTGACTAGAGCCTCTTCATCCAATCTTGGGACCAGGTACAACCACAGCGACCAAAAAACCCCAGGGTAAATGGGTTATCTTTTTTTCAAGAGAAATCGACCAACGGGGCCCGGACTGATTAGCAAGTTGCTGTGCCAGATAGTATGGGTTTTCTATCTTCAAGTAGTCATCAAAATGTCGAAATTACTCACAGCTTCCAGCTTGACGATCAGTTCTTCCTGTTCCTGCTTGGCAGCAGCAAGTTTACGTTCTGAGCTCAACAACAGCTCCCTGAAAGATTGAAAATTGAAAAAGGAGCTTGTAAACGCTCTCAAAAATAGACATACAAAATTACGGCCAGATTAATAAACTAATTTGTGATCACCTGAATTCCTCACGCCTCTTTTGCTCTTCATCAATGGTCTGCTGCAATTCACGAGTCTGGTCCATGTATCTTCTGAAACACAAAGATGGATGAGTGGGGAGACCCTATGACATTCTGGTCCCTAGAGTGAGTTGAATGAGAAATGCGAAATTTTGAAGACTCAGAGCCGGTGCAAGAAGCATCTAAGGAGAAGGATTCCCCGGAACGTTAAAAAATCGCTTTGATTGAGCTTTTAATTCCTTCTCATAGGACAGTCGATAGAACGATACACACTTAAAATTATGCGCGGGCTCACCTGACGTTCTTTTGAGCATCTTCGTTGGCGCGATTCGCATGATCAAGAGCGATTTCGAGTTCGTTGATGTCAGCCTCGAGCTTCTTCTTTACACGGAACAACTCGGCTTTCGACTTCGTCTCTGATTCCAGGGTAGCCTGGAGAGAGTTCAATATCATTAGGTTAACTTGTTTTACCCAATCCAACTATTTCTTTGAATAATTTTGGATCTTATTTCGGTAAAAAGTAGGATTGTGCGAGCGACCATCAATAACAATTCAAAGTGATTTGCAAATTTTTCGCCAGTTCAAGGAAGCTCTGGGGAATGAACAGAAGCGAAATGGTTCACGCACCCTGAGACTATCCTCCCTTGCAAAAAATGGAATTTCTGTAAGCGATCGCAAATGTCGCACCCTATGCCCCCTCTTGCTGGATGAAACCCTAGTTTGCAATGTAAAAATTCGTTAACTCGAAGTTTTGCATGGTAACCAGGGTACCCAAGCTCTGGCTCCTGGCGAGCAATTACTCCAACACTGCCCAGATAGTTTAGCCCTCACATCTTATCGTAGGGCTGAGATTAGCTACTCTGTGGGGATACGCTGCGAAAAACCTTTCTATCCGACGGCCAGAAGCTTGTCTAATGTAGACTTCACAACACAAGTGACGCAATCTTCACAAAATGTAATAGTTTTTTTGCCAATGAAATGATTAGCCGATTGCAGTTGTATTCTGTTGATTGTCACTATTACAGCTATCATTTATCAGTTATCAGCTTTAAGTATAAACTACTAATTAACAGATTTTCTTGGAGAGCACCGTCGCTTGTGTTGTGAAGTCCGTAGTGCAGAATTCCTTAGCCACCGGACACAAAGAAATACCTAGAAATGATTCAAAAACCAACCTGAATGCTGTCGATGGTCTGCTGGTGAACCTTACGCGAGTTCTCGAATTCCTCCTCCTTCTCAGCGATACGTTTCTCAATCTCCGCTCGGATTTGGGAGACTTCGATCTGGCAACGGAGCGATTTGCTCTCCTCAGCTTCAAGAGCCGCCTGTAAAAAAGGGTTTTGTTACATTATTGGTTCCAGGTAAGCACTACTAGCTAGTGAAAAACTCACCTCAGCTTCATCAAGTCCTCGTTGGAGTTCTTCTTTCTCCATTTCGAAACAACGCATTTTCTTTGAAAGCTCGTGCATGGCACGGCCGCCTTCGCCGAGCTGATCGGAAAGGTCACGAGCCTGAATCACCATGAAAATAAGTGCCCACAGATTACAGCGAAGATCTTTTGGCTGTTCTTAGATTTTCCTGGATTTTTTGGGCGCTAGTGTATGTACTTGGAGGGGCATCGCTATGCAGACTGAGCCTAGGAGAAGAAGACCAACTTTGAGGAAAATGAAATCATTAAGACGCCCCAGTCCTTCTTAGGTTCAGTCCTAGGGGAGACTAGAAGGAGGCAGCTAAGTGTGTGGACTCTCCGCGTAAGGATGCCCCTTCCCACGCACATTCGCACCTTTTTACTCAAAATCATTATAATTTTCAATTCAAATATTGACAGACGAAACTGCTCGGCTCAAAACTAGGCTAAAGGCATGCCGATTCTGGTTACGCTAGACGCACCATGTACGTAACTACGTCACGAACCGCTATGAAAGTCAATAGACTAAACCATGGAGGGGCAGGAAATTTGGTGTGTGGACAATTTCCATTTTACCCGAAGCTCCTCCACCCCCCCCCCTCTTGTCTCGGAAAGGCGAAAAAAGAAGGTCAAACAGAAAAAAATGAAGAGATCATTTCCAAAATTTATCGCGTACTTTGCGCGCCTACCGTTCCAAAAATCGTGCATGGCTCCGGACTAATTTTGCACCGACGGAACACCTGCTACCTTAAGACTAAGGGAAATGAAGTTTCAGAATCTACATGATAACTGGAGTTCTAAAAATCCGCCTTTTATCATGCAAGTGATACCCATCAGAGAGAGCTTGTGTTCTCCTCTTAGTCCTCTCGACCTGATCAAAAGAGCGTCACTGGTGGCCCACGAGGTTTGTGAGTCCTTCACAAGCGAAGCTGACGCGAGCACGTTTGAGCGCGTTATCCAATTCCAGGTACAGGTCATCAACCTAAAAGGCCATAGTAGACGTGTCCGCCCCAAGCAACTTCCAAAGCTCTGTATGAGCAAAAGCTTTTACAAAATTAGATTTTAATTGTAAATCGAAATCTACCTTCTTCTTCCATTCATCAATGACTTTGTCAAAGGCTTTCTGCTTCTTCTCCAGTGATGCTACTGCCTGAGCGTGATGTTCGGCCTCAAGGCGGTTGGTGTCAGCTTCGGCGGTGAGTCTGAAGAATCAACATTCAACTCTGGCTGGCAAGAACCCTCTAGTTATACGCTTACCGACTGCGGGCGTTCTCCAGTGCGACGATCTTGGCGTTGCAGGCATCCAGCGAGTCCTGAATCTCGGTGGTCTTGGCATTCTGGCGTTTCTTCACCTCGTCAAATTCGTCAGCTCCGATGAGTCCCTCGGTTTCGAACTTCGTTCTCCATTGATCCAATTCGACTTGGGCTTTCTGTAGTTGTCTGGTCGATTCAGCCTTGCCGGCCACCTCGTCTTCGATGGCTTCGCGCAGTTGCTCGAGTTGACGGGCAAGGTTTTTGGACAAGCTGTTCAGATTCTGTCTCTCGCGGCCCTCCTCTTCGGCAAAACGACGGGTCTGGTCGAGTTCGTTGGAGAACTGGAGCTTCAGACGTGTTGCTGCCTGGATTTTGCCCTCGAGCTCTTCAACTTGACGAGCCAAGTCCGAGTTTTCGGAATAAAGACGACCCTTGGCCGAAACAAAGTCTTGCAATTGACGGGACTGTTCGTCGGATTTCAGACGAAGTTCCAGAAGGAGCACCTGAATACGATAGGATATCGATAATTCTATTTTTATTTGTAACCTTGGTCATAATTCTTTGAGAAATCTCCTCTATAATACAAGTTTCTATGAACCTGATTCAATCACTTCAAATTCTTTAAATTTTCATTCATTTCTGAACAACGGCCGCGCACGGATTGCGCTCTGTTGGTGCTCCTCCCACAAAGTGGATAGCTCCGCCCACTACTTTCTGCCAGGTAGTTGACGAGACTGCTCCTCAACTTTCACAGAGACACGAGGATACTACATAACGGACCTCATTCATAGTGATGAGCAAAATGTACGAACAGGGTTGTAAATGCCCACACACTATCCTAATGAAGTCGCGCCATGGCCTTGAAGATTGACCAGCTCTCTTCCAGCACTTGTTGCCACTACACCTGCTACATCTAACCATTTTTTTTCAAAAATTCTACGCGTCATGGCAGATAATGTTTCTATTTATCAATATTCCTACTCGCGAAATTACTCTACGTCAACTGTCGCAAATCACAAAGGAAACTGATTAGATGCTGCAACGCGACTGTACGCCAAGGCAGGCTCCGCCCAATCTTTATTGTGAAATGAGAGGAAAGAGAATGAATTTTACAAGCGCACAGACCCAATATTGAAGGCGCGTTTTTGTAGATTGCACAGTTCTTCATTAAGATAATGCGGTGTCCTCGAATTGGGCCCCGCGGATGCATTGGCCATTAAACTTGTGCCCCGCCCCTCCACGGATTCCCGTGCCTCCCTACTCACCTACCTTCCCACGCCCATGGGGAACACTAAAATCATTCCAGTGGATTATTACCGTAGCATATGGAAAATACCGTACCTCATGCTGTTTAGCGATGCGTTCCTGTTCGGCACGGGCCTTGGCCTCGTGGTCGAGGGCAGCGGAGGCCTCGTCGAATTCGCGTTGCGTCTGTGCCTTTTCCTTCTCGGAACGGTTCTTCTGCTTTTGCAGCTGCTCAACTTGGTCGGTCAGCTCCTGCACAGCGTCGGCACCCTTCTTCTTCAATGTGGCCAACTGCTCACCGAATTTCAGACCGGCTTCTTCCAGATCGCGTCGAAGTTTGGCCACTTCCATGTCCTAAAGGGTAAATATGAGCAAAGCTACGGTAATCGGCACAATGGAGGCTGAGTTTATTGTTTGAAAGGACGCGATTGACTACAGAAAGTCTCTGAGTTGTCCTTTAGCACTACGTAAGTACTAGGTTCTAAAGTGATACAGTAAACCGTCAGGACAAAGATGAGCTGACGTGTTACAGTATTCGGACCAAATTTCTCTTGATAACGGGGAGAGATGATTCCCTTTACTGGTTTTGACCAAAAATGGATTATTCCCATCCTATTAAATAGGGTCTCAAACGAAAAAGGACAAAAAAGAGCTGATATCCTCAGCGACCCGCTCATCCCTTCCACCTCTGAGGAGGGAAACCGAAATGCCTGGGCTATGCCAATATTCACAAGGCTCCTATAAAACTTGTCTCCTGTAATGGTAAAGTTACAGTAACAAACCTTCTTCTTTCCTAGCTCAATCTGAGCCGCAGTGGCGCGAGACTGCTCGTCCAGTTGATCGGTGAGGTCATCGTATTCGGCCTGTTGCTCGGCGCGAGCACCGAATTTTTTGCTTTTTTGCAAACCCGTTGGGGGCGGGGAGGGCGCCTTCCTGAATAGTACTTTTATTTCACTTGAAAATCTTTTTCAGGGGGCCCCGCTTAGCTAGAACTGCTGAAAAAAGTGCTGAGCATGCAAGATCAGGAAGAAAACTCTTCCTCCTTACCAGGAAGGTCTTTCAGGGCGTGACGAGCTTTTTGAAAACGGTCTTTTGCATGATATAGGGGCAGATGCGGGACCACAGAACCATGTTTAATTTTTCCTGAACGGCCCTCTGAATACCAGAAAAGGGGGTCCCTAGTTCGATTCCTCTTGGTGACAAATTTTTGCATTTCGAGTTGACGTTCCAAAATTCGCGCAAAATGGAGTTCTGATTGTTCTGGTTGGTTCTAACTCCATTTTGCGCGAATTTTGGCACGTCAACTCGAAATGCAAAAATTTGTTACCACGAGGAATCGAACTAGGGACCTCCTTTTCTGGTATTCAGAGGGCCGTTCAGGAAAAATTGAACATGGTTCTGTGGTTCCCGCATCTGCCCCTATATCATGCAAAAGACCGTTTTCAAAAAGCTTGTCACGCCCTGAAAGACCTTCCTGGTTAGGAAACTTTGCGAATCAGCGTTCGCAGGTGAGTCCGCGATTTTTTATCAGCTAACCCTAGTTGCGGTCTACGGCAAGGACCGAGCTAGTCATAAGATCTCGACGATAATCCAGTTCCCTAACCCAATACAAATCCATGAATACCTTTTCGTCGGCTAGCTGATCGTTGAGGTCCTTCATCTTGGCCTCGTCCTGCTGGATGGACTTCTGCAGTTTGGCGACACCTGCCTGCTCGTCTTCGAGCTTCATGCTCAGATTATGTAGTTCAGTTTCCTTACGACGAAGACCGTTCTCCACATCACTTTTCGCCTTTGACAGCTCTTCCATTTCTTCTTGAGCGATTTTCAAATCGCCTTCAGCCTTTCGCTTCGCCTGAAAACCATCATTATCTACTCGTGACACATTTGCTGTGCTAATGGTACAAAATCAAATAAATTTTCCGGTAAGGCGTATGAAATAGTTTGCAAACAGTAAATAAACAGCGGCAGTATGATCAGTAAACAACACCTTATCCATGTCGGCGCGATTTCGCTTTTCACGTTCCAGGGTGGCCTCTGATTCCTCCAACGTCTGCATGAGCTTAGATTTCAGCTTGTTCGACGCCATATTCTGATCTTCGGCTGCTTGAAGGTCCTCGTTCAGCTTCCTGGATTTTCATTTGAATTTTGATAATTCATATATTATCTTCAGTGACCCTATTTTCTCAAGAATACCCTTAGATACTTCCTCTTTTGCAGGGCACCTTATACTTCCTCTTTTCAGGACACCTTACATGATTCACCTCAGCAGATTTTTGGGTCTATTCCAATAAAAGTGGGGGGGGGGTGGAGGTGGAAGATAGAGCAGCTAGGATGGTTCGTGCAGCCTAATACAGTAATTCAAATTTCCACAGAGAAGTAAATAATCTCAGGGGTGCATGAACTAGCTTGCTTTCGCCTCGAAGCCCATCGCAGAGCTACTTCCTCCGAAAAAATCAGTAATAGTCGCACGAACTGTTGCACCTCATGCCCCCCATACTGGTTTAGACCCAGTTTTTCTGGCACTCCATTCACTGAGCAATCATGAAGACAATGAAATTCTTGGATGCAAAGTCATTTTCGATACAACTCTATCACCCAATAAGTATGGTCGGGTGAATCTCCACAGTGCGCCACGCCGAACTGCCGCGCGTCGCGCGAACTGCCGCACGCGGTGGCCGGATTACGGTATTTTCACTTGCGGCGACAACGGCGACGATTTTACTTCATATTTTGAATAAAGGTAAAAATTCTCTCAGGGCCTCTCACGCACTTGTTGGTCTCCTCCTGATTTTTGCGCTCCTTTGTGCAGCTTAGAAATGGCCTCATCCTGTTGACGCATTTCATCTTGAAGCGAACGGATTTGGTGTTCCTTGGCCAGCTTTTCGGCTTCGCTCTTGCGCAGCGACAAATCGATATCCTGAAATTTCAACCAATCAATAGACTGTAACTCAGGGCTAAGAATACTGCACTGAAATAATCGATAATATGCTCAAAAATCAGCCCATAGCCCATTTTGTCACTCCTTTAACACTCCTTTGTCTCTTCGAGAAATAGTCAAATTGAAAAAAAGATAGTTAAACGTTGACTGACTCGCACGCTCCTTCATTTGAAAATCGATACTTATAATTCAATCGATCGATATCGATTACCTGGCATTGCTTTTTCAGCTCGGCACATTCCGCTTCTACTTGTTTCTTCTCCTTCTGCAGCTGAACAGCCGTGGTTTCTTCGGCTTCCAGACGAGCATTGGCATCAGCCAATTTTGCTTCCAGCGCTACCTTCTGCTCGTTCATCATTAGTTGTGGTAGGGTCCTATCTTGGTTGCTACTGTGTTCCAGGGAGCCTCAATCAGGGTTTTTCCAAAACCCTGCGTTGCGCAAATTCCCAAATTTTTACGACCCCCTTCCTTTTCGGGGGGTATCGGTACGACCCCCCATATTAACTATCATGTCTTTCACATAATTTAATGCTCATCAATGCTCATCAATGATGGCAGTCACCAACATGGAGAAGTGGTGGACCGTGGTCAATCCGCGCGCTTTGTCTCGCTCAGAGGAGGAATCGAGGCAAATGAAGTTTTATTCATTAAATAGAAGGAATTTCCAAATTTTTGCGTAAACCAATACATCATTTTAATCGTAAAGATTTCTACTTTCAGAAACCCACCAGGATTTTTTCGATCTCTCAACTTTCCTTACCTTATAATCTGAAAAACTAAACCTTGTAGCAATTACATTGCAATCCAAACCCCTCCATTCAGAAGGTTATATTTTCTTTCAGAAGCTGTTTCATGAAATCGGACACCAAAATTTTAAAAATATAAATAGTTTTCTTCCTGAGGAGTATTTGAAATGTTGTGGATGTTCAATATTTCAAAAAATCGTCCCGTTGTTCCGTTTTCTGTGCACACGCGAGTTTTTGACATTCAAACATTCATAACTTTCTTCATAATCAACTTTTTGCAAATGTCTAAGGCTAATTAGAAACTAGAAGATTAGAGCTTTCGAACAAGCACCTGAAAATTTTCCAGCGATCATTTTTTCAAAAAATAGTCCCGTTGTTCCGTTCTTGGGTGGTTTGGGGTCCGATTTTTGAGAAGGCGCGAGTTTTCGACATTCAAACGTTAATAACTTTCTTCATACTCAACATTTTGCAGATGTCTAAGGCTAATTAGAAACTAGAGGATTAGAGCTTTCGAATAAGTGCTAAAACTTCTTGAAATAATCACTCGCTCAAAAAATAGTCCCGTTGTTCCGTTTTCCACCTTGATTTTTTTCAAGCCTTTTCCTGGACCGCGACTATGCAGTCTTTAAAGGCCCATAACTTCCTTTGAAATTAATGTGTGGAAGAGGAGGGGGGGGGGGGGTGATGAGAAGCGGTAAAGATTGTTGGAATCCACTCGAAGAGTACTTCATAACAACTGTGAAATTTCCCTGAAATTCCTTCTTCTGCCTCAATTTTCCTACGGCGTCTCTAGAACTCAATTCAGCAAATTCGCTACACTTTGTTTCGCTTAGATTTTATTTGAAAGCATCGAAACTCTCTTCAGAAAGTTTGTCTGCTTACGGCCGCTGACAGAGGAGGCGTTTTTATGGGAAAACGCCTGCTCGGGTATATACGCCGTGCACCTATCTGTGGGCAGAGTTCGCACTCGCATTTTGAAGTCTTCTGTTTTCCTGAAGAAGGTGTTAGTATCCTGATTGAGTTGTATTGTGCTGTTATATGGCACTCTTGTTTCACTTTCCCATGAACTGCTCTACACTTTGTTCTCCTCGGGATTTCAGGAATGTTTCATCATCGAAGACAGACCATGTTTTTGCACTACACTGTAACAAAGTTTTTGGCTATTGTCTATTGTACTCTTGATCTATGCCGCGGAGCAAAAGCGCCGTCCGGATAGCGTCGATTAAGGATAATAAGCTGATGGTGAGACTTATAGTGCTCTGCATGCTTTAATGCTCCCATGGAGCTCATGTCTGTGTGACTCTCCGACAGCGTGCAGAGCTCCTGGAGAACATTAGAGGCTGAAAGTGCACTCCCGGACACTGCACTTTTCAAGCCGTCTTGCAGCCCGTTGTGGATACGACCCCCTCCCTTTTCGGTCGGCTGAATACGACCCCCTCGTTGTTCTTTGCGCAACGCAGGGTTGACCCTGCCTCAAGTCAATACGCGCTATGAAAAAACTTCGTATAAAGATTCCCGATGAAAAAAACATACCCCGCTGTATGATCTTGTTCAAAGTGTACACCATCAGAAATGATCGATTTAGGGGATTCAAATGATCAATTAAAAAAAAAAAAATGAAAAAGAATGAATCAAGTAAAATGGCAGCCACTTACATTAAGAAATCCGGAATGATCAAGCAATGAGACCTGCATTAAAAATCTGCAGTTTACCGCCATTCGACAGGCAAGCATGAGTCATGATCGAGGAAATTTCGGCTTATACGACCCCCTCCCTCCATCATGATATATACGACCCCCACCCCTTCTTGAGCCCCCCACCTTGCACCTTGACCTCATTCCTCATCTTCCGATGGGCGACGGTATCATGATGACTCCCACTCGGCCCCCGATTCCTCCTGAATCACCATGAGGGGTGTATCTAATCGTCGAAACTGCCTATTTTTTGCTCTCTATTGTTGTTTTCCCGAATAAGACCCCCTTCTTCCCCAACCAAGGCAGACACGATCCCCCGCTGTCGGAGAATCCTCGACAGAGGTTAGCCTGGTTCGATAGCCCACGTCTTCCAGATACCATATCGTCTTCCAGATACCATAATGGATGCCAGACTTCGCGAACAATCGATTCGCTAGCGATTTTTCGCGAAGTCTGGCAGCTGCCTCTCCTACAACTGGATACTGTACGACACCGTACTCACCGTGTTTGTTCCACGAGTAGCCTCGAGCTGTGCCAACAAGTCAGCCGTCTCTCGCTTGAGTCGCTCGGCGTTTTCAGTCAGCTGAGCCTTCAATGCTTCTTCCTTCTCGAGTGTCTCCTTGAGATTTGCCACCGTCTCTTGCAGTTTCTCGTATTGTTCCTCGATTTTGCCCGATTGAATCAGTGGTTTCACCTTCAATATCGATTTTTCAATCATCAATCAATAAATATTTAAAAGGAGAGGTTATCTGACCTTGCCGTACAGCTTGAACCAAGACCACGTACGAAGCATGGCCCAGTTGCGGACATTTCTCTGAATGGCTTTCATCGCTTCGATCTTGGCAATGCGACGCTTCTTCTCGATCTGAAATGCGTAGGTATTGATTTTTCTGGAGAAATTCACTGTAAAAAATATTACCAGACATGATGTAATTATTAGCACCAGCTTTTCTCTGAGAAAGGGCCCTAAGCAGAAGAATCGCGAAAGTTCTTGAAGTTTTTTACGCGCGCGCTTCCTACCAGGCACGCGGTAACTCGGCCAAACGGGCGGTCCGTTTTCAATGCAAACTGCTACAGACTTCCCTGTCTACCACTACCTTAGGTATCTCTTGAAATGGTTTTTAATAGCAAGAAAAATCAAAATTTGATAAGAAATTGTTGGAAACGAACCACTTGATAGTACCAACGGATTTGAGCTTGAAGTCCGGTCATCAATTCAGCCAGACGAATATCACGTACGTCTTCAAGATGAGCAAGAATACCAGCCTGCAATGCTTCGATTGAGATCAATTCCGTCTTCGGTCCGATGAATGGGTCCGTACAAACTGTGGGGGAGGGGGAGGATTTTGAGAAAAAATTCCAGGATTCAATTTGTCAAGGTTTTCCTTTCTTTTATATCAGATCGATTCCGACATTCTGCATACGTCGCCTAGGGCGGTGACCACTTCAACTTGAATGCTGTAGTCTCCAGGATGGATCAACCCCTTTTTGTATACGGATACGCCACACATTCAGGTGCAGTCAGAATTGTGTGACCTTAAAGGCAAGATTCAAGCTTAAACTGATGAGGTAATTCTACTCAAATGTGATGTAGGGGTGGGAGGTGGACCGCCAGTGGAGAAAAAAGGAAAAAAAACGTGAAATACACAGGAAATACGAGCCTTTTGCTCTACGTTGCGGAGAAGTTCAAAAGGCCGGCAGGGAGATGAGAGATAATGTGAGCGCGGAGAGCGGTAGAGAAATCCGAGAAGAGAGAGCATAGCAGATCAGCATTGCGACGCAGACAAAATATCGAGCGGTGGGCGGAGCGTGTCGCGGCAGGAGGAGCGTGTCAAAGTCCTTGGCCCCTAGCGCTTCAGTGACGCATTTCGATGCGGGGTTTTGGCGAGTCGCTTACAGTTGCGTCCCATGCGCTTCTAGCCACTTTAAGGGCTCATTAGGTGGGTCTGAGCCCGAACTTTGCCTTTAAACTTAATAGGACTTGTATACAACATGACTTGTTGAAGAAAGCGCTGTATAGGCCAGCGTTTTACCCTCCCACACAACCCTAGCGCCATTTTTTGGACCCTGAATGCTAAACAGCATGATTGGCCTGAACCAGAATCAATCTGGGATTTGGCTCCAGACCATTCACGCGGTCTGCAGCGGCACTTGTGGCTTCATTATCTCAACCCTCGGAAGAATAGTAACTATGTGATTGACTACGTCAAAATTATGAAACTAAGGTCGAATAAGGTCGGAAAACCCGTCCAAAATTGGCGGCCCGAACGTATCTTTCGTTTCCCTCGGAGAACTTTTAGTGTCCCCATTCCCAGGAAATCAGTAGAATTCACTTCTCGGCTTTTCTGTTGCCCTTCAAGCAATTCTCTTTCCCGGTGGATTTTCGGCGCAAAAAAATGGTTTCATATGAAAATATGGTCAGGAGCAATCAAAAAATATGGAAGAGTCTCATCCAAGCCTTCTCAATTTTTTTGGAAGTAAGCCAAAACCAAGAATTGATCGCTGAAAACACGCTTTTCTGAAATTCAAGGACCACTCACCTTGAAGAAGACCTTTGTGAGACCAACGCGGAAATGTTCTTCAGCCAGCTTCTTCTCTTTGACCAAACGAGCCAACATGGCGGTGGCACCTTTCTGGAATAGGATGAGCTTTTGTTGAGATTTCGGTGAAGCTGTTCTAGCCATCCAAATGGCTACCGTGTCCCTGTACTGATACAATTTTCTCACGCAACAATTTCTTTGAAGGAAAGCTGACGGGTACCGACAGGAGGCCCGTCGCGCGGCAAGAAGGCAGAGTCAGCGGACGAGTCGCAGCGCGTACTGTAGGATTTCGCGTCAAGTTAAATAGAATGTACCATTGTACGTCCTACATCGCACATCACGCGCTGCGACTCGTCCGCCGACTCTGCCTTCTTGCCGCGCGACGGGTCTCCTGTCGGGTACTCAAAGGTGACACTCTGAGCCTCTTCGAACGTAATCGTCCGTTGAGCCGATTTCGAAAATTCCACGACTCCCCTCTTCTTAGGAGGGGCCTTGATAGGACCTCCATCACTTCGATCAGGCAATCGGTTACTGGAGGAATCGGCTTCTCATGCGACCCCTACCCCTACTCCTAATCATCTCAGACTGCCGTCTTCACCACTATGCTTGTTTCTGTGGCATTCGATTCTGCAGTCGACATACTTCGTACTTCCCTTCGCAAAAGGCGACTGATCGGGGGGGGGGGGGTCAACGGAAACACCAAATACTGTAATTTTGTCTGAAGTTTCTTGTAATATCGTAGAAAACCTCAGAAGTAAGCAAACCAGCCCTTTTGGCGTTTCTGTGGGACCGTATGCTGAATGTTGGAAGGGGATGGGTTCCCAGACGGTCGACGGACTACTTCAACTCGGTCCTTAAAACCGCCTCAGACTAAGCCTTAAAGAGAGGACGGACCTGCGCTCTCTCCCTCTCTCAAGGCTTAGTCCTGGGGTAAGCAAACCAGCCCTTTTGGCGGAGCTGCTGGACCTAGCTGCACCACTTCGTCATCACTCTCCTACCGTACCGACCGAGTTGAAGTAGTCCGTCGACCGTCGGGGACCCCATCCCCTCCCCAACATTCAGCATACGGCCCCAGCAGAAACGCCAAAAGGGCTGGTTTGCTTACCTCAAAACCCCATTGGAAAACGGCCCACACCCCTCAGGTATAACATACAACACCGCATCATCCATATCACGATCCCCTGAAAATCTCTAATACAAGCTTTCTTGCCACCTCCATCAGCACACAAGTAGACAGCAATACAACCCCCCTCCCCCCCAACGCAATACCAAATACGACGCCCCTCGTAGGATTTGGTACAAGGGATGGCCCTGCTTTCGAGCGCGTCAGCGCTACGGTGAGGTTCATAATCTGGAGCAGATGTGAACTCAACGGCTTTTCAGAGTGGTTCACGCAGGAGTTTCCAACTACATCCGAGGCTGAAGGGCGACGTAACTTTGGAAGGGGCGCCCGGAGATATGACTTGGCTTCTCATACAAGAATCTAATTGTAGGATTTTGTTTTTCTGTTTTGGTATTCAAGTAACTGCATTCTACGTGATCACGAATCAAACTACGCGATCAGCCAGCCCTAGGTGGTCTCTATCGATAGTAGTGGATTTTTTGGCCCTAAAAATTTCAACGCAACTGACCTTGGGGTCTTCTTTTCCAATAAGTGACTCATCAGCTGCGAGAAGCGCATAGCGTTGTACGAAATCCGGAGATGGGGTGGTATAGCGTACGATTCGGGGACCTTTCGGCAATCGGTCTCTCAAGGTTACTCGTTACAGGTGAGTGCATTCAGTGACCAAGCGGCTTGTGCTGGGCATTAACCTCATTAACACATTATCAAATTTTATCCGGCGGGGATTTGATACACGTGGGCACTGCGACCTGATTAGACGGCGCCTTTCTCTCCCCACTTTGATGCCTCTTATGTACACGACAGAAAGACAGTAAGTACTAACCTGAGGCCTTTTTTCTCGTTTAGGAATAAATGCAAGCGATGAATGCGGATGATGTCTTGATGGTAATATATGGTTTATCGATTAGGGTCAACGATGTCGTATACAGATGCGATGTTCGATGAATGAACGAGCCCGACTTGACTTTCTTCTTTCCAGAAGTGGCACCTATGGAAAGAGCAGAGCTATTTTTTTTCAACGATAGAAGGTGTGACATTTTTTAGAATTGGTTTACGGGGCTTGAGGATCTTGTAGCGGCAGTGCTTCGAATCTATGGCCAGTCAGCCTTTACTGCTGTCTATTCTTCTAACCTTAAAGGCAGGAGCGTTTAGGTGCTTCATTGTTTCCGATTTAAACAGTGTTGCTCAAGTGTGGAAAAGTGAAGACTTGAGCGTCTCTGCTGTTAAGTTTTATAAGTATGGCGGTATTCATCTTTATGGCGGTCCATTTGTAACAGATCAAAGCAGGGGACCGAGTTAGCGCTTCACTTCTCATCCTAAAGACGGTAATAGCTCAAGTCCAGGGGAAGAAAGTGGAGCATAGGACCTAGCCTGGCTAAGTTTTATTGTTGGTCTATTTGGCTCTAATTCATTCATTTGCAGTGACTCACTTTAACCAGATCTAAGGTAGGGGATCGTAATGTTTCTATTTTCCAGACTACAGGTGATCGGGCTAGCAGGAAGTTGTTGCGGTTTGGTAAACGTCATTGCGGTTTTTTTTTTGAAGGATATCTGAAAACATAGGCGTTGTGGCGGAACTTGCCCGGCCTCCTCCATTGTCTGATAGTCCTGCCAGACTTCGACGAGAAGGTCATTCTTTTTCGAGTTCTTCATCACTTGTACTACGGTATCGTTCAGAGGATCCTTGTTCTTCTCCAACCAGTTCGTCACATTGTACCGTACGGTACCGGCGTAATATGGACGATAGCGAAGTGAGTTTTTAGCTGTAATCAACAAAATCTTCCTCAGACAAGTCGGCGATACAATATCGCGGTCCACTCATTAAGTAGGGGGGGCGATGCGTTATCGTGCTTAGTCGTAATGCTTGCTCAAGTCCCATTTTCTAGTTTTCCTTTACAAAGAAATTGAAAGAATGGCCGAGATTCTTCGCGGGGTTTCACTGGGCTTGGAAGGAGTCTACCCGAGTGGATGCTTAGGGAACGACAGAGAGGGTGGGGAAGAGCAATTGGGGGAGAATGAGAAGGCTGAGTATCCCGTAGGGTTCCCCTCTTTCACGGACTCGAGGATCAATGGGCTTATCTAGAACATTCTTGGAACAAACGGAATGAGGCGTTGGAGCAATCATCGCGATATAAGTTAGTGACAAAATTCCTAACTTTCACCTGTTTGCCCTTTGGCGGTTTGGGTTTCTCGAAATTTGGATGCTTTGCCAAGATGTTGTTCGGTCAATTTCTGCGCCAACGTCAGATCAGTGGCTTTCGGCACGATACATTCCTCGTCCAACATCGAGATAATACCCAGTGGCTGAAAATATAGAACAATAAATAGATCAAGAGAAACTTCTAATGCCCAGCCCCTCTGGGCGGTGTGAGCGCTGTCCATTTGTGCGATTCTTAATTTATTCAAGACACATCTTATTCGGCACTTGACCGCGATGTTGGAGTAAGATTTGATTGTCTTCGGCTTTTTCAATGTTGGGATTTAATTTTGTGATCTGTTTGATGGGGAGGGGGGGGGCGGGAGGGGAAGTATTCGAGATTCTGCGGAGGAGGGCGGTTTTGGAGTGACAGCGGTGGTTCGTGAGGGAGAGGAGAGGTTCACCAGATGGAGCTCGCGACATTCTTTCTTCGAATCGAGTTCAAGCGGTAGGTGGTGGAGAGGGGGTGGGGCATACGGTTCAACACACCAGGGTTCTCAACGCCTCTCCAATCAACTTCTCTAGAACTCGAATGCGACGGCCCCCCCTCCCGTTTCTTCGTCGAAATAAGAAGAACCAAAGACCGTACTGTGTGGGAAACACCAACATAACAGTGGTACTGAAACGTTTCCAGGGTGCGTTTTAATTGTTACCGCCTGAGATCACCGGCACATAGATCTGGTTTACCGACACACGGAGAAACCACGCTCAAACAACTCCGCCCACCCAGTAAGCTCCGCCCTCCCCATAATGCACCTATTCAATTTCGTTCTCGCTGATTTTTCAAGAAGTGAACGGCTGTTTGATCCATTTACTGACGCATTATGCCCCGTGATCTCACAACGTTCTCCATCGCCGTCACAACTGGACGGGAAAGGGGAGTGGGAACACCCACGCTGGGTGGTTTTTCTCCTTACCATCGCTCAGGTTATCCTTCGCTCCCATTATCACCTTGTACCACTTGGTATCACCTAGTATCAACAACTAGCGTTATGTACCCGTAGTAAATAGCATAGCGCATTGGTTCTTTCTTTCGCGGAATATTTAAAAAAGGCTTGCAACAGGCGAATACTGAGCCCATTCTCTTCCTATTCTCTGAATTTTCTAGCGCTCTCAGCTTTCCTGTTCCGAAAACTACTGCTTTTTTGGGGAGAAACCCAAAAAATCACCTTCTCAATCAGCTCAATACAAGCTTGTAAATCAAGACCGAAATCGATGAAAGTCCATTGGATTCCTTCACGAGCGTACTTCTTCCTGTTCCAGAACGAACATGTGATGATTGAAAAATTGTTGCAGTTTCTCATTCACAAAGTTGATCCAAAGTTGTTCGAAGGAGTTGAACTGAAATCAATCAATAACTTCAATCAATCGGATCGATGAACTTGTCAAACTTACGTCGAAGATCTCGAAACCGGCGATATCAAGCACACCGATGAAGTAGTCACGAGAAATACCCTTTTGATCCAGGGTCTGATTACATTTCTTGACCAACCAATGGAAAATTCTCGAATAGAGACCTTTTGCCATGGCGCCAACTGCCCAGTTAACCTGAACCGATCAATTATTGATTACTCTCCATTTTCCTTCTTCTCGAATTTTCCTTCATTACCTGCTCAAGATTTTGTCCTTTGTTTACCCACTCGTTACCGAACTTTCACACGAGGTCTGGTGAGAGCCTTGATGAAATCTTCCGGCTCAATACCATACATAGGCAGCAGCTTTTTCCGCCTCTGAAAAGCTCATCAGTTTGATAATTTGATGATTTTCGCGGGGGCCCCACTCGTCGAGCCTCACAACGACAAAAAGTTGGGCCCCGCATAATTTGCGGACAGGTCCGTGACGTAAAGGCACATTCCGCGTCGAACATGTAAGGGTTACGCCCCCTACAATCTGTAGACAAGGCCGTGACCTAAAGGCACATTCCGCGTCGAAGAGGTAAGGGTTATTTCGCTCTTGAAAACATGAACGTAATCAATATGTCATTAGTCCATTGATGACGTGAAAAAGCAAAAATCGAAAAGATCTTCATTGGTGAATAAATTGGGGGCGCAAATCACCGCCCATCATAACCTGCGCGCGTGTAATTGTAGGTAGCTTTTTCGCTTTATTCGTTAATGTAACCTATCACACAACTTCTTTTATTACCGAGAGAAAAAGACACGGCAATATACACCCCATTCTTTCGTGGAATGGTGCCTTTAAGTCCGCAAATATGTTCCAGCACCTTCTACCTTGAAACCCTCGCAAAGCTTTGGCTTAAATTTACGAAACCCGAATGGAAGCAAGGAGTCGAGGCCTTTTGTGGTAGTGCTACCATAAAGGCACGAAACGCGCACAGGAGTCCTCAAATGAATTAATGGGCAAAGAACGGTGAACCTGAAGCTACGAGAAGGGTATCAGATGGGAGAAAGAAAAGGTAGAAGAATTCCTCCAACACATGATATGCCCTGGCTTGTATATTTGTAGGATTAATACGCACCTTTTTAAAAGGACCACGATATCTTATAAAGTCCTGCTCACCATCGGTGCCATCGCATTCAGCTTGTTCCTCACGAGGACGCTGCTTGAACTTCATGTTACCCATATGCATCATTGCGGCCACCAATTTATAGCAGTTCATCTTCTCCACAGGTGTGAATTTCAAAATGTCGAAGGCTTCATCGGTCAGTTGGAACTCTTCCTGAAAGCAGAAATTCGTTTTACAAGAGACTTTGAGATTTTTTTAAGTTGTATCCACCATGAAATTGTCAAGAATCTGCTCCTGGTCACATATTGAACCCTAGCTTTTTTTTCTAGGCCTTACTGTGTACTAAGGATTATATTTGCGTATGTCGGCCGGAGACGCGTGCGGTCGCTAAGCGGTTTGGTCATTAGAATGGTGAGAAATAGCTCCTAGTCTAGTCATGGAAAACTGCAACCGCATCTGTCCCATGGGCCCCGTAGTAGGCACGCTAATCTAGAGAAATACGATCACAGTGGTCGGAGAGATAAGAAAGCCGTGTTGGGCAAAATCTTGCCCTAGACGGGATCCGAACCCGCATCGCTTGCTTACCGAGCAATTGTGCTACCGTTGCGCATCGCCCGGTTAGCAAGAAATGCGGGTTCGACTCCGCTTGGGGCCAAGATTTTGCCCATAACTCAGCTCCTTCTGAAACGTGGTGTTAAAACAGCACCCAGCAAAAAAAACCCCGATTCCCTTTGGATTCCAGGATTTTTAAAATTTTTCGAGTTTTGCGAGGAATATCAGCCCCCCCCCCTGTTGTTGAGTATGTAAATCTTATCGATTCATGAGTTTTTACCTTATCATTGACACCGTCGATTTTCAGCTCAGCCTGAGCGACGAACCAGTAATCCTTGACCAGGTTTGTCCAACATCAAATCCTGCAATTAAGGATGCGTTATCGATTTTTCCAACGATACGCGACAGCAAAACTGACCTTCAACAGTGTGGGCACAAATCCAGAGAACAGCTGATAGAAGATATGGTAACATCGCTCACCGGGCGCTTGACGTATCACACGCGATTTCTCGAGAAGATCTTAATATCGATTTTTATTTTGAAATTGAATATTTGTGAAAAAATCAATAGTTGCACGTACAATGTTCGATATCGCAAGATGCCACACGTCCCTGTTTCGAGAAGTGAATTCGGATAAACTTTCCGAATCGTGACGAGTTGTTGTTACGGACCGTCTTTGCGTTACCTACAATGGAAAGGATATGTATTGATCAGTGATGTCACGTTGGCAAGTCGCTCTAAGCCACGCGCGACACCAGGCGAGCGACGAAGTATAAACAGATGGCGTCCTTTCACTGGTAACAGATAAGTATCGATTGAACGGTTACTGATCATATCGATTGAATTCACTGACCGAAGGCTTCAAGCACGGGATTTGTCTGCACGATTTGATCTTCAAGAGTGACTTTTTTCTCGGTGGTCTCTTCTTTCTTGGCAAATTTCTCCTGTTGAGAGGCACCAACAACGGCAAAGTAAGCAATTACCTTAACCATGCGGTCATTAATTATTAACAGAAACTGCGAGAATTCTGAGCTGTTCTTTTCGATTACCGTACTCTGAACCCTCTGGCTCACCTTTTTGGTGTTTTCCGTCTTTCCGGCTCCCGACTCTCCAGTGATAAGCATCGATTGGTTCTCGTGATTCTGCAGCATATTACGGTAGGCTTCGTCAGAAACGGCGAATAAATGCGGTGGCATTTCGGTTCTAAAAATGGACTTTAACAGATGGTGGACCAATATTTATAAAGGTCGGCATCTATCAACCCTGCAGGAATGCGCCACGCAGTAGACTTTCATCGAGAACCGTGAGGTCGTTTGAGAGCATGTTTTGCCTCGGCTGATGCCCCTGGCATCCTCCCTGACATGTTTGACGCCATTTGACCGACCCCGAAGAGTAGAAGACTCTATCTAAACTTCGTGGGATTCGATCACGGATGGGGCACTAGGCTTGTCCGAGCTTCGTGGGAATCGATATTTGCGGGTGCCTAATCTTTGCCCCACAGTCATCATTTTCCAGGTGCCTAATCTTTGCCCCACAGTCATCATTTTTCCGCCCCCATCAGATTGCAACTGGGGTATTACCCATTGTCAAGAGTAACTCCTTACCCGACCCTGGTGCCCTCTAACCGACAAAAGTGATATAATATAAAAATTTATAGTCAGCATGAAGCACGGGCAGAAGTGGCGTGGTGTTAAACGGCGCCGCTTATCATGTGCACAATCGGGATCAAATCCAGGATCGTACCCCACCCAGGTCAGCCAGGCCTTCCATCCTTCTATGATCGGGTAATTCTTACCAGACTTGTTCTGAGAGCATGAAAACACTCGCTTTCTTACATCGTCTGCCCCCCCCCCCAATCACTTTATGGAACAAATCGCTTTCAAGTACTATTGCAATTTCTGAATGGAAGTGAAATGCATGGCGCATCCGAACAAGGGACGATTAACGCTACGAGCTTCATTCTTTCATCTTTTAGATAAAAAGTATGCACTCACCTTCGTTTGCCCATAAACATTTGGGCGACAGAATCCTGTAGATCGAAGCCTTTTGTTACGGATGATCCCCTACACAGAAAGACCGAGTATGTCTGAAAATAACACCTTTGAATTTTTCTATTTCTTAATTAACCTTTTTTCCTATGTTTTTCTTAAAGACATGTCACTTTTAGAAAGAGTGTGATTTTCTATTAACTTTTTTCTTCTTATTTTTTTTTTTTTTCCTATTTATATCATATTTCTCGTTCGCTTTCTCTGGTAAACACTTTTTATAGTCCTGAAAAGGAAATATTCATTCTAAACGGAACGCGCCATATTCTCGAATTTTCTCAGATTTCCGCAAGCTGAATGAATGGACAAATGCCACCATACATTTCAAAGTTCCTCCAAGGGATCTCCCTACAGAAACGTTTTCAAATTATCACTTCTGTTCTTGGCTTTATCTGTACCTTTTCCTGCCTGACCTTTTCCAAATTTATTGATTCGCGCCCCGGGAAATCCAATTCCCCTCCCCCCCTTCCCTCGCTCCCAGAATCTGACAGGCAGAACACTATATTGTATTTTGTATGCAACTAAGAGGCAGAACAGAAGGGGTGGAACAGTGTTCTCGCGGAGGAACCACGACGGGTAGCATTTTGGAGTTCTTTTTTGACCCACAGGGAGGACACGCTAACGTGGCCCCAACTCGCCCTACCCATAACTTCCATCTATCCCGCGAAATTGCATATACAGGGGGGGGCAAAAAAAAAGACATTTTGCCTCCACTTCCAGATGGATTTAAGCACATTTTACTCAACTCAGACCGAACGGTTCCAACTTATTATTAAAGAGTGCATTCCATTCTATAAGAAAATCTTCATAGTGGCCACGTACGTGGACGGCATCAGAAGAATTAGCCCTGGAAACATGGTGCACTGGTCGATCTCAATGGGGTCTTCGAAGGATCGTGTACCATAACGACCCTTACTGGAAAGCTAGTTCCGAGGGGATTTGCACAGTGGTAGCTAATGCCTCTAGAAAACTATCCAACATTAAATCGATTCACGAAATTGCGTAAGAGCTTCAGGCTGAAGCTCTTACGGTAGACCTCCTTGAGCCTGACGACGGTGACAGATGACGTCATATTCTGAAGACGGTGAGGGCAGTGAAGGAGGGCCTGCGTACACTTATAGAGGGACACTTAGGGAATACTCTGCTGAGGAACTCCCGTCAACGACAGCAATCTCTGCGAAGAAAAAAGAGCCGAAGTCCGACATAGGCAAAATGTCTTTTTTTTGCCCCCCCCCCCTGTATATCACGTTGTACACTGAGTTCAGTGACGATGCCGTTCTCTGACCCAGATTTCCAGGGGCCAGACCTAAAGCTCTATAGGCATTCAAGGGCTACCGCAAGATAAGGGGACATCCTCCGGAACCAAGCCTAGGCTTTACCCAGTAATCTGGTTAGCCCTGGCCTTCGTATCTTGCGATAGCGCCGCCAACTATTATACTTGAATTGGCGATTCTCATTAAAAGACTTTTACCTGGGTTATCACCGTAAACCCTTTCTGATGGTTTTTATTCTTACTTTTTCTCTCTTACTGAAATGTGGATTTTATTCCACTTGATTTCTCTTCAGATAACTGATTACATCAGTTTTTCTGATAAAGTTCCTGGAATCTGCTGTGCGGAAATTGTTGTTTGCCAAGGGGCGACGATTGACGAGGGAGAAATCCGTAAGTGTTTGAGCATCCTCGTCGATCTCTCTTCTATCCGTCGACACTATCCCTCTTGATCAAACACGAAGCACAGCTCAGAGCTGTTCTGTGCGGATTTTCTCAAGAACAACGACGGTTTTCCACCCACTCATTACCGTCGCCCTCCGAGCATTGTAAATAAATCCTCCGATTGCACAGGTTATCGTTTGGAACAGAGCTATGTGAGGATTCTCAGCTATCGGCATAAGACCCCAAGGTCGGACTCGGGGTTCACTCCAGTTTTTCGAACATCCAGAATCAAGGATTCAAGGGAGAGAGTTGGAGTTCAGAAAGGTTTCAATTAAGGGTCTCTTGCTCCAGAATCTAGGCCCCGTAGACGGACTTGATGATTCGATTAAGGATTTTCTAGCGGTATCGCAAAAAACGGGGACATCCTCCAAAAGATGAACCCCAGGAGGTGCAGGAACTTCGGGTAGGATGAAAACTGCCTTTTACTTCCGCCTTAGGCTTAGTCCTGAATAGAAAAAGAAGGGATTTTTTACGCGATTTTGAACGCATTGTTACCACAATGCTCCCCCGCTTCTTGCGATAGCCCCGACCTTTGCCCGGTTTGTTTTTTAGTCCTATATACACTTCTTTCAGAACCTCCCTAAACCCCGAACTCACGGTTTTGAAACTATCATGATCATAATACATCTAACGTTGAGCAACTATGACGTATCGTCAACTCTCACCCACACCCCCAAGTCGATCCATCTCAGAGCAAGAGGGCTCGGGTGTCTTAAACCCCAAACGGGTGAAGCGAATATAAGATGACACATTTAGCCCTCATCGCTGCGTTACCCATAAACAGTGATGACTACAAAATGAATATATATTTGGGCGCTCATGTCGTCAGGGGGGGGGGTGACGTTCGAGTGAGTGAGCTATTTACAGTACTTGGGGCTAACAACAAGCCTTAAGAAGGGAAAGGATTCTGGGGAAGACGTAAGCATTCTTTATTCTTCCTAGCGTCTCTCTCCTTCTCAGGCTCAGTCCTATTGTTATCTATGAGCGGCTTTTAAATGTCCTCTTCTAATGTCCCCCCCTCCCAAGGGGTCATGAGCCCCTGTTTCACTCCGAAAGGAGGTGCTTTCTAACACATGATCAAAAAATACCCAAATGGGCGACCAAAAGTCGATTGCTTCTAATGTCAAAATCGATTTCTGAACTGTCATCTCTTTACTGAACCTTTACAAAAGCTAATCGCTGCTGACAAGGTCACCGAAAGTATGCTCGTAAGTGAGAAAGTATAAACGTACGTAGATAAGCATAGCGGCATAACGTGATCGTAGATTGTGTAGTACAGATGCGTCGTTGAGGAACGTCAAATTTGACATGTCCTCGGTTTTTTCGTATTTCGGCGGATTCACCTCCTGTAGGGCGTCCTTTTTGAAGGTTTTCTGCAAATTTACGTTTATCGTGGATGTGTCGAACAACGATTTCTATGCATGCGCCGTACTGTAGCGACGCCTTGTAATACCTGTTACAAAGTAATACAGTAGCCCAAAACTCGAAAAATTGGTCTACGTATTTGTAAAGGTTGAAACACTGATCGAAAGAACCACTGCGTTTAACAGCAGCTCTAATTTCGTCGCCATCAATGTCAGTGATAGTGCGTGTGTTTTAGCATGGGTATCGATTTGTCGCGTGTAAAATCAATATCCGTTCTTAAGCACACGCAACACTCGTCCACACATGTTCCAAAATTAATCAAAGGCTTAGATGACCTGGAGTGTCTAAGTAGTCCAAACAACGTTTTTCTTCGTTCTATTTTCTTTCAGACGTTTTTCTCTCATTTCCCCGTTTTTTGGATCTGCTTACCCATCTAGGTGGCCGATGTTCAAGCTATT